GCTGCTACGATTTACTATGTTTACATTGTGTACAATATATTGACTGAGAATAAGAAATACAATATGTGACAGCAATGACATTCATTCGCTTATTTGATTAAATCTCGGACACAGAAATCTTGTTAGAACTAAAAAAGGTATCTTTTTAGGAGAGATTAATTTTTGGAAAAGAATGATTTTGGATTCCTACTTTTACATCTCTTGATACAAAAAAATGGAAATCTTCCAAAGAAAGGAGAAAAGCAATCAATTTCAAAAAATGTTCATTGAAATAAATACATTTTTCACTTTTTAACCTACTCAGTTATGTACGCCTATGGAACAGATACTTGAAAATGATTTCATTACACGACTGCTCAAGGAAAAATACTTTTTTCGAAGGAATAATTTGCATTTCTTCTCCCTTCTGATTCTAGTTTCATATTTCTTCTTTGGATCTATAACTTTTATTGTGGTTTCTTGCGGTGGAAGTGAATTTCAATTCAATACTTTCACTTATTCTATTACATTTTTTCGAAGGAATAATTTGCATTTCTTCTCCCTTCTGATTCTAGTTTCATATTTCTTCTTTAGATCTATAAGTTTTATTGTGGTTTCTTGCGGTGGAAGTGAATTTCAATTCAGTACTTTCACTTATTCTATTACATTTTTTTGATTTATTGACTTTTTACAATTTTCCTTCTTTAGCAACCAAGCTTTTTTATCATGAAAAATTCATTCATTTTTATTCAGACAAAAATTACAAGTCTATTTTTATGTGATATTCAACATTACTTCTGTTTCTACTGGTACATGAAATAAAAATTATTCTTATAAATGTCGGAATGTTTTTTTTTCATTCTTGCGAAACTACCTCGTATATTTTTTTGTCCCCGTTTGAACCACACGAACTATTTCGCCTCAGAACTGATGCGAAATATGCAGGAAACTATGATCAAGTCGGTCATCGATCTAAGACCCAAGACGAAGGGAGAATCCCAACATATTTGAAGTCTCTTGACATAGTTACCGCTTCTCTGATATTTTCTCCGGAATGCCAGCTATTCGATAACCCTCAAGGGTGGCAGCGTAGCCTGTTATTATCCTTATCTACCACAATCTCGGCAATGGGGCACTGTCAGCGTACATGCGGGTTCGGTTTGAAATGGTGAATTAGCGTATTATGTCGTGCAAAAAAAAATGTATATACATACATATTTTAACTTTACCGATGCGTCATCAATTTATGATCATAGAAATCACACACCCTCTATGTAACATCTCTTTCTATCAACCGCTATGAACAAATGACAATTCGTTAACATTTGTCTTCTAATCAAAGACTTATGTTATAGTGATGATCAGTTAATACTCATAACAGTGGAAAGAGATAACCAGATAGCCGACAGTGTTTTACAATTCACCTACTTTTGCTAGACATGATATTGACTGTTGACAGTATCATTGTTTTATGTTATTGGGTATTGTTTTCGTCAGTTTCACAGTGTCTCTGCATCCATGCACGGATGATTTAATAAAAACTCGTTTGTTATTATTAATGTCTGCAAATGTTTTGGAAACATTGCAATGCCACCTTTTTATTTAACTGTCACATCTACATAAAAACTAACTTTTGAGGTCGTTAGGATCCGACATTTCCATAAATTTGAAAATGTTAATTTATTGTCATTACCTTCACGTTATAATTTTTATCGGGATATTAGCCACTTCGTCTTACATTTGACCACAATTTCGCGATTTATTTCATATGCACATCAACGATGACGTATCGGTAAACTTAAAATCGAAGTGTATAATACAGGTTGGAAACACGGTATAGTGTTCACGTATGTACATACACCATAAAACTGACGTACTGCTATGTCAAAAAAGTGCCGGGAATTGGTCAATGAAACGCAAAAACACTAGGGCTGGAAAGTCCCAGGTCTAAGAAAGAGAACGCGTTTTTTTGCTCAAAATTGGCTTTATTCATCAAAGTAAAGCAAGTTGGGCGTGGTGATGAACGAGCAGAAAACAAAATTCATGACAGTTGGAAAAGGTCATACAATTAACAAAATTAAGATTAAGGTGGAGAAATATAAATATCTTGGGGTCACAACAGCGAAGAATGGTGGTAGGGAAAAGGAGATAAAATTATGAAAGCCAACAAAATCTACAGGCAAATAGGAAACTACTGCAAAGTATGGAAATCTCAAGTAGTACTATAATGAAAATGTACAGAGCAATAATAAGACCGGCAATAATGTACGCATCATAGACAGTGTCAATGACAGAAAGGCAAAGAGAACATAAGAGTTGCAGAAAGAAGATTACTGAGAACAATAATGGGGTCAATTAAAGTTGATATAAATGCACATCAGAAGAACAAACAGGGAAATTGCAGAAAAATGTGGAAAGGATGATGTCTTATAAAACAAGAAACAAAGAACCGGATGGCAGGAACATATATGGAGAATGAAGGAAGATAATGTAGTGAGAATGACGATAGATTTGGGATCAGCGGGGAGAAAGAGAAAAAGGAGACCTACGAGTATATCCAGCTGGTCAAAAGAGGTGAAAAAAGGCCTGAAAACGACCGTAGTTGGAAATTTAAGAGAAATAACAAGAACTACAAAAGTATGAAGGAAGATATGTGAGAAGAAAGATGACGTAACCAAGACGAACATAGAGATTTATTCACTCTAGCCAACCGTGCATTATCCAAATTCATATTAAGTGATACTAAGCACGCTTTCAGATATCTGTCAATAAAATTTTACAATGCTCTTCCAAATGGTCTGAAAGTTGAATCGTTGGATTCGAAGCTATTGAAAACTGAAATGAAAAACGTGAAACCTGGCCGTGAGCATGAATGCCGCACACGAATCAATCAGGTAATATCTGTAATGTCTGCAATTTCCGGTAATTAACCACCTATGGATGATACAGCGGAAATGCCGGCTGGATCATTAATTATCACTATGTTACAATCGAAAATATAATCAGTCATTGCTGTATGGTGATTAGCGTTGGAGATTTCGGAAATACTGAGTTTTCCCTCTGTTCAGTAATCGGTTCATAAAAAAGGATTCAGCTGCATTTCTTTGAACATTTAGAAGCGGGAAAAATTTGAAATCTTTTTTTAGTCACAACAAACTCTGGAAGTAGCAGGAAGTCTTTATACTCCAAAAGCTTCGTCCAATTCAATGGATTATCTCAAACCGTGAAAACATATCACCATCTTTGTTTCCATTTAAAAAATATACCTAACATAAATTTCCTATTTATTTTTTCCTCATCATTAATCTTCTATTGTAATTAAATTCACGTGAATATAAGATGACTGGGGAATGTATTTGTATTTATGTAAAATTGCTATATATTATAACTCAATGTAGATGAATATAAGATTGAACTTTGTATGAAGTGAGTTACAGCTTGGGAATTTCCTACTTCGATCGCACGTTAAAAGATAAGACCTCCGTAATCCTTGGCTAGCACAAGTTTCTACTTTTGAGGGTTGTCTTTCGTAGGGGGCGAGAGCTGGTTAAAGGATAAACAGATTTTAACAGAACAAACAGACTTAATGTACGATTGATCCAACCAGAGAAAATTACGAGATATTCAGGTATTATTATTATTATTGCGGTATGTTAGTACACTTTAAAATCTCTGGACCAATTTAGACGTTATTCTTCATATTATCCTATTTAGGATCCCAAGAAATATAACGTATGATTTCTTACATTTATTACGTGATGAAATTGGCCGATACTTAATGAAAATCTTCATTGTGATATTTTACAAAACCGCAACCCAAGTTTCCCGTGAATGGTAGTGTCTGTACTGTATGAACACGTGTTCATACTGTATGGCTTTCTCAGCCACACGTGTTCATACTGTACGGCTTTCTCAGCCACACGTGTTCATGCTGTATGGCTTTTTTTTCAGCCATGCAGTATGAACACGTGTTCACACGTGTGGCTTTCTCAGCCACACGTGTTCATACTGTATGGCTTTTTTCAGCCATACAGTATGAACACGTGTTCATACTGTATAGCTTTCTCAGCCACACGAGTTCATACTGTATGGCTTTTTCAGCCACGCGTGTTTATATTGTATGGCTTTTTTCAGATATACAGTATGAATACGTGTTCATACTGTATGTCTCTCAGTCACACGTGTTTATACTGTATGGCTTTCTCAACCACACGTGTTCATACTGTACGGCTTTCTCAGTCACACGTGTTCATACTGTATGACTTTTTCAGCTATACAGTATGAACACGTGTTCATACTGTATGGCTTTCTCAGCCACACGTGTTCATACTGTACGGGTTTCTCAGCCACACGTGTTCATGCTGTATGGCTTTTTTTTTCAGCCATGCAGTAGAACACGTGTTCATACTGTATAGCTTTCTCAGCCACACGAGTTCATACTGTATGGCTTTTTCGGCCACGCGTGTTTATATTGTATGGCTTTTTTCAGATATACAGTATGAATACGTGTTCATACTGTATGTCTCTCAGTCACACGTGTTTATTCTGTATGGCTTTCTCAACCACACGTGTTCATACTGTATGGCTTTCTCAGCCACACGTGTTCATACTGTATGACTTTTTCAGCTATACAGTATGAACACGTGTTCATGCTGTATAGCTTCCCAAGCTTTACAGTATAACTCCCTCAGCCAAACAGTATGAACACGTGTACGTACTAGCTGACCACGTGTCCTCAGTCATACAGTATGGCTTCCACATCCAAACTCAGCCGTACTGGCTGAACACATGATTATACTGTATGGACAATAGCTTCCTCAGGCGTGTTCATACAGTATGAACACATATTCATACTATATGACTGAGGAGGTTACTTTATGGTAAAACACGTGTTGCGGTTTTGTAAACTGTTCAATGGAAAATCTCACAATGAATGGTTACTTGAATACATACTCGCGAAATTCTCTAGTAAAAAAAATTAAATGTCTTGTGAACGAAATAAAAATTCTTCATTTTTTCAGAGCCAGTTAGGACACGGAACCAGTTTTCCATACAGTACCGGCCCGGGAGGAGGCAGGCCAGATTATTCGACGGGCCCCCAAAGACACGACGACCCCCTCTCCCTCCATCAAGCCCTAGGTCAGGCCGTGGAAGAGGCCCAAGGGGGCTTGGACGACAACACTGGGTTCATCACGGACCTGCCGTTGTTGAAAAGTAAGTGGAAATTTATTCAAATTGAACCAAACTATATTATCTAACTTCGAATGTACAGCTGCACTGATTCGTTCTTTCAGATCTTTTTACCATTAAGGGTGGTATTCCTCAGGGATCCATATTCTAACCATTCTATTGAGTATAAAATTATCCAAAACACAAATATGTTTGTCATTAATTTTGGTTTGTTGCTTTGGTTCGTTCAAATTGTGTTTCAACCACTCCAATATTTTGCTACCAATCCCATTATTGAACAGTGAAACAGAGTTAGTGCAATGATCAACAATTTTTTTTCAACAAAACCTAATGCGTAGCAATCTAAATCTATACTAATATTATAAATGTGAAAAACTAGCCTTTCTAGTCTAGTGTCCGAGCAACGAATTGATTCTCAGTCGTATTTCCAGGTATGAAAGGAGGCAAAGATCACGCAGGCGGCTCCATGGTGTCCCCCAGCGACGTGTTCTGTTCTGTACCTGGTAGACTATCCCTTCTTTCCTCGACGTCGAAGTACAAAGTGACGGTGGGGGAAGTACAACGTCGCCTCTCCCCTCCGGAGTGTCTGAACGCTTCCCTGCTTGGAGGAGTGCTAAGGAGGGCTAAAAGCAAGAACGGGGGTCGCATCCTCAGAGAGAAGTTGGAGAAAATCGGACTCAACTTGCCGGCAGGGCGACGGAAAGCTGCTAATGTGACTCTCCTGACGTCCTTGGTGGAAGGAGAAGCCATACATTTAGCGAGAGACTTCGGGTATGCATTTCACAATTTATCCTCTCACCAAGTGAAGATAAACTAACGGCTTTATGAATTTTAGCTATTCAGTTTAATTTTATTTGTTCTTTCATAAATTTCGGATCATAGTAGACTTATATTAGACAATGGAAGTCCGAACTAATAAAGTTCAAACTATATAGATGATGAAAATGAGGGGTCCTAGTGCAGTGCCTTGAGTAACACCACAGGGCACGGTTCTGAGCATACCTTGGACAACATCAATCTCAACAATCTCTTCACTATCTGATAAGTAACTTGACCAAGGATTGTATTCAAAAGCCATAACTATTTAGTTTTCTCACTATATCGTTCCAGATGGTGTAGGCTCTAGAGAGAGGTTTTTTGTGCAACTTTCATTTTTTCATCGCAATTTTCACTTTATTCCCTTCCATTTACGACCCTTCACTTCTCTCTTCGAATTTTCTAGTGTTCATAACAGTGTTATAAGTCATTTTCTCAAAGCATGTTTAGAGTCTCCGTCGATTTTTTCTTCACACCTTCAACTGTTTCAAACCCTATTCCATTTAATGCTTCCTTCACTTTCGGGGACTTTAAAAAGTCACACAGAGTTAGCCCCGGTGAGTAGGGTGGATATTCCGATACAGGGATCCAATGTTTGACCAAAAATGACTCATACTTAACGCAGTGTGGATTTGAGTATTGTCCTGATGAAGCAACCATGACTTGCTCCACAACTCTTTCTCTTTCACGGAAAGTGGCTAGAACCTCAAGATCACATTCTTTACTTACTATTTGTCCTGCAGAAACCCCATTTTAATTGTGGCATACGAGCTTTCTTCACTCATGGCGACTGTAAACTCTTTCAGTGCATTAATTGGCACTTGGTCCCAGTGATGCCGAGCTGATACGATAGATTGCCTTTCATGTTTCGGGATTTGGCAACCCTAGTATTGCAATCTGGCAACTGACAGCTCTATCGTGAAGTTGGACATTTTTGAGCTATTTGTGTTGTTTACAATAACTTAAAAGATTCATCTCGGCCCAAAAATGTAATTAAATCGTTAATATTTTCGTGCGATTATTTTTTACAAGTTTCGGCGTGGATTAACTCAGCAACAGTGCATGGATGAACTTAATTCAATTTTTGGCGCTGAAGCTCCATCAAGAACCAATGTTTATCGATGGTATGCTGAATCCAATCGTGGTCGTAGTTCAGTCCAAGACGAATTTCGTGAAGGTCGTCCAAAATCAGTTGTTGTTCCAAAAACCATTGATGCTGTGCGCGAACTGATATTGCAAGATCGTCATGTGACCTATCGTGAGATTGACACCACCTTAGGCATTAGTGGGACCAGCATACATTCAATATTGCATAAACATTTGACTGTCAAACAAATTTGTTCGCGTTGGATCCCACACAATTTGTCAATCGCTCAAAAAAAGGCTCGTGTCGATTGGTCGAAGGAAATGCTCAAAAAATACGATAGCAGTGCTTCGAAACACGTCTATGACATCGTGACAGGTGATTAATCGTGGATTTACGCATATGAGCCCGAAAGTAAACAGCAGTCGACTGTATGGGTGTTTGAAGATGAGCCAAATCCAACAAAAGTTGTTCGCGAAGCACTTCCAAGCAAATGGTCGCCTGTTTTTTCGGAAAAACTGGACATGTCGCAACCGTACCACTAGAACAACGCAGAACAGTCAATTCTGAATGGTACACAACAATTTGTTTGACAGTTGTCTTCCAAGAAATCAGAAAAACCAACCGACGAAGACGGATCACTCTTCACCACAACAATGCGAGCTCTCACACATCGGCTCAAACAACTGCATTTTTGAGCACCAAAAACATCGATTTGATAAGTCATCCGCCGTATAGTCCTGACTTGGCACCGAATGACTTCTTTTTATTCTCGCACGTAAAAAACAAACTGAGAGGTCAACGTTTTTCGACACCTGAAGAAGCAGTTGATGCATTCAGAATGCATGTTTTGGAGATACCTCAATCAGAGTGGCAAAAGTGCTTCGACAGTTGGTTCAAACGCATGCAGAAGTGTATAGATCTTCATGGGGAATATTTCGAAAAACAATAAAGTAACTTTCGATCATTGATATTTGTTTTTGTTCTCTAATCCCGAAATATAAAAGGCAACCCTCGTATAACTCAGAAACTCTTGTACTGCCTAGTGACGTTATAATTTGGATACACGTCGACGCCAACGACTCATAAACCCTAAATTGCAAACCTGATAATCAAACATTGTTTTTTTTTCTAATTAATAATGAAGGTTGCTTCTTCTGTTGCAGATACGTTTGCGAAACCGAATTTCCCGCGAGGCAGGTCGCGGAATACCTCCTGAGACAGCACGGCGAAACTATGCGGAGAAAGGAACTCCTCCAAGCCACCAAACAAGTCACGAAAGAGCTGATGGATCTTCTGAACCAAGACCGCTCCCCGTTGTGCAACACCCGACCACAAATCCTCCTCGATCCTTCGATCCAGAGGCACCTCACGCACTTCTCGCTGATCAGCCACGGCTTCGGCAGCCCCGCCATAGTGGCCGCATTAACCGCCATACAAAACTTCCTGAGCGAGTCCCTGAAGCACCTCGACAAAGTTTTCCCGAATCAAAATGCCCAGCAAGGGCAACCGATGCTGGTGACTTCTTCCCTGGACAAGGCCAAGTTAGACGATAAGAAGTGACGACTTAAGAATCTCTTGTATGTTGTGATCTAATTGACTAATATTAGAAGATTGCCTTGCGATCTGGTGGGAACTGAACACGATTTTCTGATAAATGTAGCTAGAATCGCATGATTTTTTCTCATTTATTGATTTGGTGAAGAGGTTTTCGACCAAAGAATGTAAAATTCTCTCATGACCTGAATTACTTGAATGTTAAATCCCAGATAAGGAAGGACCGATGGATATCTACTGTACGTCCAATTTATGCCCAAAATATATATCATGAACCTCGTTAAGTATACCAACCTGAACGTCTATGAGATATCCTCGGAGAATATTCATTATAAGTTCACCGAGGAATGTCTTACGGATATACACTTCATGCCTATGGATACTCCTGCCTGAGCTAGACACAAATTGGATATTCATTGGATATCTGGAATTGTCTGGAATCTAACACTTCATCTAGAACTATAACTTACCTTATCGAAGATAATGAAGCAATGGTTGAAGAGATCCAAAAACTAGAGATTGCCTTCTTGATGTTTTGAGGTTTACAATGGCATATTGTGTTGTAGGTAAATTTGCGAATCACTATTACAGTACGGCGAATGGATCTTTACACATGCATCATCAATTTGTGCATCCGAAATAAGTCGACAAAGTAATGAAAACAATAAATTAGAACCTAACATTTAGGTGAAAAATATATATATTCTTCAGCCGTGCATCGTAACAAAGCTGTTGCCCCTTTGAGTAGCAATTTTACTGTGGGAAATTTATGAAAGTGATAAAAGAACTATCAACTCAACACGTGGTCTGGAAAGTCCCGGGCCTAAGCAAAAAAACCCGTTTTTTTTTTTGTTCAAAATTGGCTTTATTCATCATCGTAATCTCTATCAAGATCCATCCACAATCCTACCAGCAATACCACTCTTGTAGATTAATCTTTTGCCCCAAAATAGTCACCAGGTCTGCGAACAGTCGCTCGGAGCCAAATCTGGCGAATACGGTGGATGTAGGAGCAATTCAAAGTTCCATTCATGTAGTTTTGCCACTGTTTTGATTGACTAGTGACATGGTACATTGACAAAACTTTTTTTCTTCGCCATTTTTCAATCATTCAAAACGATTTTATGGATGTAAAATTAAAACACGAAATTGTTTTTGATCCATTGTTTTGAAAATAACAACAGTAGTGCCACTCATCATAAAAACTCACACAAACTTCTTGTAGAATATGATATTTCAACAGCTTTCTTTTGAAGGTTAGTACTATAACTGAAAAAGCGGTGAAAGCAATAAGACTGGCGCCATCTATGTGTTAGGCCCGAGACTTTTCAGCCCAGGTAGTACATACATAGATTTGGTAAATATTCAAAATGGGTATGATTGAAAAAGTCTCACTCCAGAACAAATATGTAATTAGCTGTCATCAAAATTATTCATCTCTTTTCCACACAAGTATCTTTATTATCATACAGTACTTGACACCTTACACTGTCAACCAGAGCCGAAAAACAATGTTCCATGTTCCAATGATCCAATGTTCGTTTTTGAGCTTTGGTATCAATTAATTGCCTCACAGTAAAAGCTGTAGGGAAAGATAGACGACGAATCTCATTCGACAGAGGATTTAGAGGCTTGTATACAATGGGAGATTTCATTGCCTTTTCCTGCCATCTTACAGTTAGAAACTGTACTAAATAGTTAGTAAAACAGAATATAACTCTAGTGGAGACTTTAGCAATTTTTCATGACCTTGGCAGTGTGATAAAAATCTAAATGCACTGCTTTTAGAAAAAGAGTCTACGAAAGTTATAGTAAGACTTTATTCATTAATAGAAAACCAGTCACTAATTTGAAAATATATGGTAAGGAATGGCATAACTTTGTGTAATTTCACATTCCATCAAATAGTTTCAAAAAATTGTTTTATTGTTAGAAATATCAGCTTCAATGGCTTTGTTCCAAATTTCTTGTCTCATAAAAAACTTGGTGCCGTGTACAATGATTTCGTTGTCACTCGGCATGATTCGTCATTGCTTCGTTGCCTTTAATATGTTTCACAATTGCAGAGAAACATCAGGTATAAAAACCCACAGACCACGACAAAATCGAAAAATCCAAAGCAAAATTATACAAAAAGAAAAAAGTTACAGTGTTCAGTTCCCAACCCAATACAATGTTTTTGCTTGGGACTGGCTCAATGACCTTCAAATACTCACTAAAAAGACTCCCTCGTCGAGGACGAAACACTAAGGTGTGCGTTCATTTTGATGGAAACTATGGTATATTTTTGTGGATACTCAAAATTAAAATACTCATTAGTGTTTATAACCAAATTTCCCTCCAGATTACAATTTTCGATAAAAGTAATTCAGTATAAGCCTCCTCAAATAAATCGGAGTAATACAATTTCTGGACACCTTGTATAATTACAGAAATCAATCGATATAAATAACAAAACCTTACAAAGATAAAATTTTGTAGCTGCGACAAATTCAATTGGTTTTTAAGTATAAAGTCTATCAACATTACTGTGTTCTTTGATAAAATTACAATCTCTCAATAAAATCAACTCTCTCAACAACACACTCTTGTATATATATAACAGTGATATAAAATAGTAAACTTAATACGAATTAAAAAAAAATAAGAACATAGGCCAATGTAGTAGGTCTTACATTCTGGTGCCCCAGATCAGTTTAGAATTTCACAAGCTGTGGTCATAGGAAGCCTCGATTTCTAAGATGCATGCATAAAAGAGTCGCTACATTTAGATTTCGTCATGCTCTTAGATTCCCTTCATTCTGTGGTCTATTATTAAGGTGAATGGAAACTTTTTTATTCGTATATCACATTTCTCAACAGGTAGCTACAGAAAAGGCTTTCTTTTCGTGTGAATACTGTAATTATCACCCAAACATGTGTAGTTTCCTTGATGACTGACACCTCACAAACATACGATTCACAATGTTAATTATTAAAGTTCCTAAAGGCAATTTTCTCCATAATGCCCAGGACAAGTCATAACTGTATGCACATTGTTGATGTATAATTTTCAATTGTTGTTCATTAAACAAATATAAAATGTTTGTAAATGATTCAACTGACTGTTTAAACAGTGTTGTTGATACATCATTCAAAAATATTCAAATATCAACCAGGTTCAGAGTATGGTAATGTGTGATTTTCAAAGCAAGGTATTTTAAATTACTGACAAATATGATGAATATCCAAGATATACTATACGAGGAGCACTTATATTGTGTACACAAAAACGCATGTTGGCAAGTGACAAAACATTATTCTCCACAAAAACGTACCTTTGACACATGTCCACAAATTTTAATTCAACAATAACAATCATCATTAATCTTGTCAGAAATATCTCGCATCGACAAAATATACAAAGGCAGATTTTGTAGCTTCAGCTTTTGTAGCTTATCAAGTTTATAGAAAAATATACGAATTTCACAGCGTTTCTTTTGATCTCAATTAGGCCTACTACTTGTTGATAAATGACATCAACCATTATTTTAGTTTTGGAATGTAACCAATCACGATGTTTGACCTAAATCACAAAATTCAAGCAAGCAGTAAGTTCTTTATTTAAAACTTGAATTTCTGACGCATGCCATGAACGACCATCCACAAAAAATATATGCGGTCGCTATGGTCAGACACAGGAGTCAGTATATGCTACGAATGATCAATGTCACAAGTACCTACATAGTAGTGGTGGGCCACTGATGTGATTTTATTGCATACCTCTATGAAACGAATACTAATGTTTTCGAACAGAAGAAGCAATTAATGCCATTTTTCTTATACTTTAATGATGTATCAAAAGTTATAATTTGGGCATTATTCATAAAATTATGTTGACTCCGCATTTAAATCTGTAACGCGAATATGTCACAAATATCACAAAATTTTGATATCACGAACATCAAAAGGCACTTATTTCGCTTAGTTCAGCCCAACAACCATCTACAATAACATAATCTTAAAGGTTTTCTTGTAAAACCTTCAAGATGAACAGGGGAAAAATTGTCATTGGTTTTGAAAAAAAATCTGATGATGGCGTTACCAGCCGTACTAATACAATCATTATTCTAATGGTAGGGTTAACATCAATTCCATAGATTAAGTCACTTTTTGGTTTCGAGACAAGAACTAAAACATTCCAAAATATTTTCAAGGGCACCAGACCTGATACGCAGCCAGCTAACGAAATTAGGTTCATTTCGTCATTTCCACATTTACTAGAAACTTTCATTCATTTAGATAAAACTAGACACATTATGGAGTAGAATTAATGAATCGCTATCATCGATGCTAAATGACAAAATGATCCCAATTCTGCGGCAACATGAAACGGACATCCCGGGATGCCATTATGAAGTACTATAAATACCGATATAAAAATACGAAGTCTCACGGATCCTCTAAAAATTAATTAAAATAACAGTCCCTGTAACTGGAAAAGGGTGGAATGTTCTGGACGGACGCTGTGTGATCAAAGGTGCAAGATGCCATCATCCTTTGTTGAAACCTGCGGGAATAATAAAGATTGAATCAATGTGCTCAACTGAACTTGTGATAACATCAGAAATGGTATACAATAAAGTAATGGAGTGGTCCGAATTAAATCATCTAACGGTAAATGTATCTAAAACCTCCTTGATGAAATTTACTTTGAGGGGAACTATGGAAGAGTTTCAAATTTTCAAGGACAATGACATGAATGTATATGCAAGTGAAATGACTAAGTTGCTTGGACTAACAATCGACTATAAATTGTGCTGGGAACCACAGGTCAATATACTTTGTTAAAAGTTAAGAAAAAATTGTTATGCGTTAAAGTTCTTATCAAATCATTGTCACGAAAACATACTATTAATCGTTTATCATGCAAACATCAACAATGATCTGCGATATGGTATTCTTAACTGGAGTACTTGTACCTCTTAGTCACGTGTTTTCGCTCTGCAAAAATTTGCTGAGAATTGTTGCAGGACCAAACTGGAGGCAGTCATGTAGAGACGCTTTTAAGCGACTGAAGATATTAACTTTGACAGGCTTGTATCTGTATGAACTGTGTATACAAGGTGTAACATCGTAAAACATTTGAGGAGGTGATTCCTCATCGAAAAAAAGACAGGATCTTTCATATGAAGAAACTTCATTGGAACATCCCTTGTTAAGATACAGCCCCTTAAAGGGGGTACATAAAATTTGTATAACAATTTTTTTCAGAAGCACTGAAAAAGTTACAATATTGAAATAAACCTGACGTTTACTGGCTAAGTGTCTTTTTGGTAGTACAAAACGTCAGGTTAATTTCAATATTGTAACTTTTTTAGTGCTTGTGAAAAAATTTGTTATACAAATTTTATGTACCCCCTTTAAGGGGCTGTATCTTAACAAGAGATGCTCCAATGTTGAGACATGTTGAGAGAATTGAAATGGATGTCATTAAAAGGCTATGTGCACTATCATACAACGGTACTGATATATAAGATGCATCACCATCTATCTCCGAACTAATTGAGCAGAAAAATAGTATATAATGAAAATTATCATAATAATAATACCAGAATCAACCGAAATATCCATGTAGGAACCAAAGATAAGAGGTGTACTGAAAAATCTATTTATCATGCAGGAATGTTGGCTTTCATTAATTTAGATCATGGTATCAAAGATTGTGATTTTGATTTATTGTTATTTCTTGAGTTCAATAACTTCATTACTATTCCAAGGTTTTTAAAGTGTTGTGTTTGTTGCTTTGAATCTGTATCAATACTTGTGTCTTACCTTTGTGGCCCACC